GGGGGGCTGTTCATTAAGTTGTGCTCACAGGTGCCATGTTTCTGACCATAAATACATCTGTCATCTGCTTCTGCCCTGACTGCTTCTCATGATCCAATTTTCATCACCCCGTAATGCGACATTCCTTGGGAATGTAGCTAAAACCGGTTTCAAATACATAACAGCCACAGGACTGGAATCTAGCTGGTTAGACATTCCACACGCTGGTCACTTTTTAATAAAAACTTGGACTGCAGTCCATATTCTACCTTTGGCAAATGCCCTCATCTTAAAGAGTCTTGCTGATTGGGAATCATAATGTTGGCTGACGTTTTTTGTGTCAATGATACTGTCTGGCCCCTTAGCTACAAAGTTGGCTGACCTCCGTTCTAGGCCCTTCACATCTGCCCCATTTCCTGTACTGCCTAGTTGGGGTCGTGTGCTCACTTGTCACCGGGCCCAGAGATCCTGTGGTCGCCTCTGCGTAGGATGCCCACCCCAACTGCCCAGCAACTCCCAACTCAACCTCTAAGACCCTGCTCCTCAGGGCTTCTCTGTAGAGTCTTCTCAGCTCCCCTGAGGAAGAATGAGTCCCTCTACTTGCTCCTCTGCGGTCGCCTGGACTTGGTTCAAGAGATCCTGCATCAGGGCACACTCTGTGCTGATCTACCTGACGCATTCCCTTCCTGCGTGAAAATGCAGTGCCTTGCACAAGGTAGGCAATCAGTGTGCTCACAGAATGCGTGTTGTTTAAATTTAATTTCTCTTCCCAATTTCTGCAAATCAAAGCTTCTTTCCAGGTTTAGTTCAAATTCCACTACCCCCTAGCCCCTGCCAGCTACCTGCTCCTCCTCTGGTCAACCAGGGCATTCGTCGCCTGCCTCCTTCATATGACGGGCACACATGGTCTTGTTTGCTGCACCAGAGCAGGCGAGCCTTTCATTTCTTTCTTTTGAACCCTTTTAAGGAGCACTGACCCTGACCCTCAGGCCCCCTACCACAGTGCATTCCATCGGAGTATCTCCCTGATTCACAGAAGGGGAACCTGTAAGTTGCCCAGAGACCTATGCTGAGATCTAAGGTAAGAAAAGAAACAGGTGGCCTATCGGTTTCCCTCTGGCAGGAGTTTGCACTGGGAACCACAAAGAGAATGGAGCAGTTAGCGATTGGAGCTGAATCTGGGAAGAGTGGGGAGAGGCTGAGGAGACCGAAGTGAACACGTGTGGGCTAGAGACAAGAGGAGACTTGATGGCTAAAGAGAAGAGATGAAGGAGAGAAATGGTCCATGGAGCAAAGTAGCCAGTCAGTAGGGAACAGAGATTAAAGGAAACAAAAACCCAAGGAAAGAAGGTGACCGGGCCATGGGAGAAGCAGAGAGCTCTATCCCCCGTGTCTGGCTAAATTTAGGGATGCCCCAATTTCAGTTCTTCCCACATGTGCCCTTCAGGTCCATGTTTGAGAACGTGTGCTAATTTCTGGGGGCCTCTCCATCTCAGAACCTAAACAGCCTTCATCCTATGACACCAACAGAGGCCGAGCCAGGACTTTGGGAGGCCTGAAACGTACAGCATTTTGAAAATGAATACAAAATTACTTCTGCAAATTTTGCAAAGATGTACACGGTCCATGTGAACACACTGCCAGGGGCCCTGCAAGTGTGAGGCCCAGAAATGTAATTCGTTAGCATCTTAGCTAACAGACTTCTGGACACATATCATCATGCAGGTAGGTGAGCGGTTGAAAGGACACCCATGGAACTGTACCCATGCTACCACGGGTGCAGAACCGAGGAAGACGAATTCCGGCTGGGGAACGCTTTACAATTCTCATCTCTTTTATACACGTTACACAAGCATTCTGAAGACCATTGGTTCAACATAGTCCCTACCAACTGGTCACATTTTTTTCCTAGTAATACTTATGTAAACCATTTAAATCAATATACACATTGTAAACAAAGGGTTTTTGCTGGAATGTCTCTGGTTCAATTTTTTTAAAATACATCTTTATTGATTTCAGAAAGAGGAAGGGAGAGGGAGAGAGACAGACAGAACCATCAATGATGAGAGGGTCATTGGCTGCCTCCTGCACGCCTCCCACTGGGGATCCAGCCCACAACCCGGGCATGTGCCCTGACCAGAAATCGAACCTCGATCTCCTGGATCATAGGTCGATGCTCAACCGCTGAGCCACACCCGGCCTGGCTCTGGTTTGGTTTTATTTGTCCCTCCTACTCCCCTCTCCATGAGGACCCCGAGGCTCACCTCCCAGGTCTGCGACAGCCGGCTGACAGAAGCAGTGTTGAGACCCATCACAATAGCAAAGAAAGAATTCAGGTTTCTCTGGGCTTTGCAGCTGCGGCATAAAAGAAAGCAGAAGGCACTTTGAGGCAACGTCCTTTCTCCAGGTGATCACAAATGATACAACTGAAAACACTCCACACTCCCTGGGGCCACAGAGTTCAACCTTGAGGGCAGGGCCGAACCCCACCCTACAGCCCCCAATGCCTGTGAGCGTCCCTGTGGGAGGATGGTGTCCCCTCTGTGGTTTCTAAAAGAAATGAACTGATTCCAGGTTCCAGCTCATCCTTACCTGTAGGAGATCTATGCTCTCATACCCTTTGACACTCCAAAATCTTCCTCCTTTTTAGCAATCTATTTTGGATGCATTTACAGTTTGAACTGAAAATTCTTAAATTCATCTTTCTTTATATATAACATGCTCTCATTATAATAGTTCCCTAGTCCCGTCCTGTTCGCCAGCAAGATGTCTATTTTTGGATGGGCAAGCCCTTCTCACCTCACAGGTCTCAGCTGGCCCTCCCATTACAGTCAGATATTGGACAGGATTCCTGGCTGGACTCCCCTGGCGCTGAGGTTCATTCACTCCGTGACAAGAACAGACTGACTGAAGCTGAACATTCCAGGTCAGCAAACACTCCTTTGTCTGTGCGAAGGAATAAAATCCACTCTATCGGCAGAGGTGGGGGCGGGGATGGTGAGGAGGGGACCCATGAATATGCAAATAGGACGCCTCAGGCAGGGAAAACACTTTGTGATCACGGAAATTACTGTTTTCCCAGGTTACTCCTGCTGCTGTGATTATGAAGAATTTCACTTTGTGTTTCTATTGGCATTCCAGTCCGAGAGCTAGGGTTAGAGACCAGCGCCATAAATAATTCAAGATCATGGGGCCACGTGGGGACGATATGAATAGATTTCATTTCCCCAAGGATAGAAATAATCTTATATTGGGGAGAGAGCTGTGTGGTGTACTCCTTGGGACATTAATGTCCCATTTCTCCAAGTAACTGGCATTTATAAGAATGTTTTTGATTCAGAAGAGCCTCACCTTTAAGTATTTCAGAGGCTACTATGGAACATACTAGCCAAATTAAAAAAAAAAAAAAAAGAGCATTTAACATAAAAGGAATCCAAGATTTTGGTGTGTCTGTTGTCTAGCTCTCCTTCCATTCAAGTCACACCAAACTAGTCAGGTACTTCCATTCTCTCTCGCCTAAGTAAAAGAAACGCCCTGCTTCTGGGTTCTCCTGCCTACGGTTCGGTCTGCGTGCACTTTCCAGATGCGCCTTCCAAGAGATGACTGATCATCAGCTTCCTGCACAAACATGTTCAGTGAATTCCTGCTGCCTCCTCCAGGCAGCCCAAATCTTCACTCTGAAATCCCAAATCCTTTACAATTTGGTTCCATCTTCCCTTACAGATGAATCTCCCACAACTTCCTTACAAATATCCGCCCCTAGGGTCAAACTGGACGGGGGTACTTTCCTGGACCACATGTTCTCTACCTCCAATGAATGACACCTGTCAAATTCTACCCAGAATTCAAATACAGCCCCGATGCTGCTGCTTTCACAAATGTTTTCCTTCCACAAACTGTTGGCATGTGAGCGTCCCCTCCTCTAAAGCCCCCAGAGTGTGATCTCATAACAGGGCATATCCCCAGTCTATTCTGCACATTAGCTACTTGCCTTATAGAAGTACTGCCCTTTCCCCCCAGCAGACTGCAAACTCCCTGAAGGCGGGAATGGGGTGCAGGCTCAGTCTGATTTCCCCTCAGTACCTTACATGGATCTGCACCTATAATGAGTGATCAATACCTATTTCCTGAATGTTACACTGACATGTACTCAAAACACTGTTTGATATAAAAGCTTATTTTGGAAGACAAAGGAGAAATAAAATGGGAGGGCCGGGAGGTAGAAGGAACTGGGAAAGGTTTTGGTCCTGGTCCTCTAAGGTTAACATAGCCCAGTGAAGGGACCCTATATAAACAGATAAGTTCAATAAATATAATAAATAAGCTTTTAAAAAAGAAAAAAAGCATGCATGGGGGTTGGGGATCAGGGTAGAGAGTAGCTGACCTTTGCATTTGAAAATCAGTGATGTCTTCAGGAAGAAAGAAACATTTGACCTATGTCTTAAAGAATGTCTGCAACCTGCTGGGTGGAAGGGGGCATTCTTAGCAGATGCAACAACACGTGTCCATGCTTGGAGGATGGCGTGCATGGGAAAGGGACAGCCACTCAGAGTGGCTGTGGCATGGGTGCACCCAGTGGGTGAGGCCCAGAGGTCATGAGGGACCAGCCAGTGCAGGGCCTGCGAAGGAGTTTGTCAAGTTCATACTGTTGGCATCAAGGAGCCAAGAGCAGAATTCTCAAATGCGCCTGCTTTTCAATGATTCCTACCCCCTCCCATCACCTTTCCCCATTTTCCTAGCCTGCTGTGGCTCACTGGCCACACTGCAGTTTAGCTGCAGGATGGAGACGTGGCCCTGCCTGCTTATTAGTTCTATAGCACAGAGCAGAGTGCTTTGGTCTGGTATTTTGACATTTACTTTAAAATATAAATACTTCAAATGCAAAGATATAAATATTCATGAACAGACCTTTCCAATCATTTGGTCACTTAACTCAGTATTACACGTTTACATCCAGCCCTTCCTATCATCACGAGGGGGAAAAACTGTACTCCAGCAAGGAGATGAAAGGAATTGTGCTTTTCACCACTAGACACTCACTGTGCGGCGATTTTGATGAACTTTTTCACCAGCTGCACTCGCTTGCCCAGCTGGCTGCAGAGCAGAATCTCCGTGGCCACCCAGAGCTGCACCTCATTGCACCTCTGGAGCAGGAGGCTGAGGTTCACCGTGTGCTCTCCACTCCCTTGTCTGCTGAATGTGAAGTAGATCAGCTCTTGCTGAAAGAAAACGTATTCATGCCAGTGTTTATTTTTAGCACAAAGTCAAGTTGATATAAAACTCAGTCCATTTTTAAAAGCTATTTCTGGTAGCCACTCCCATATCATAACATGCTACAACTTACTAAATTTGAAACAACTTATCTTTAGTTTTAGAGATGCCTCATTGACTAATGTTCACTTAGACTCCTTATATAAATGTATTTTTTTTTAAGAATGTAAGAATGATGCTTTTATGTGAAAATCTAAGGCATTCAAAGTTTAAATCACAGGTTGAATTAAATCCAAACTTCCTAAACTTGCCATATTGGCAAAGTCAAGTGTACATGAATACTATTACTAGTATTTGGTAAGATTCACATTAGACCCTCACAGGCAGACTCTCTAGACAAGGGTTCTCAAATTTTACTGCGAATCAGGATCACCCTCCAACCAGAGTTTCGGATTCAGTTGATATGTGATAGGGACAATAAAATTTGATTTCTAACAAGTTTCCGGGTGGCGCTGATGATGTTGGTCTGGATACGCACTCTTTGAGAGCTACTGATATAAGACAGCATCAAATCAGAAAGAGCAAGTTCCAAAAAATAAATAAATAAAAAAGAGACCAGTAACTATTTATTATATACAGACTGATCCCATGTAAGGCAACAGAAGAGATTCGTTTCTAAATGGAGTGTGTGTATTTTACAGAAGTAATTCACATTCTCCCACTGCATAAGCAGGGACACATCCCGTTCTCGTAATGTTTCCAAAGTCACAAGTCATTTAGCTGGAATGACTTCACTACTTGCTCAAATTTAGATCATCTTGTTGTAAATTTAACGAGAAAATATGAGGACATTTAAAAGCCATTCCAAAATGAAAGTGAGGCTCAGGGATCACGTTGGGCACAAGTTCCTCCTTCAGAAGGAAAGACTGTTTCATAGTGAAAAGGCAAATGCAACATAAGGCTGCCCAGAGCTGTCTCACTGTCTGTCTTCTGATTCCTGTGAGCCTTTCCTCTGGCTAAATTTACTCATTAATTGTCAGTAGCATTTTGCCCACAACTCATTGTTTCATAAATGTTATAAGCTGTCCTCAAGGGAGAAGTTAATGGATGTAAAATTCTGAACTATATCTCAAAATTTTCAAGAAAGTATTTGATGTCTTGCTGAACAGTCTAAATTTATTGAATGTTCTTAAGTATATACATGTGTGTGTGCACATGTATATATACATAAATATAAATATGATTTTTGTGTAACTACTGTAAACTTCATGGGAAAAAGTAAAATATCAGTATCAAAAGTATTGAATGCAAAATATATTTTCAACCCCATTAAAGCTTCATATATATATACACACACACATCATAATATATATGTCTAGATACATAATATATAGGGGGGTCCCAAAAAATGTATACACACTTTAAATAATTACTAATTCTAATGGGTTAAATCTAAAAAGAAAGAAACATCAACTGAGCTATCAGCTGTTAAAGTGTGTATACATTTTTTTGGACACCCTGTATATACACATACATATGTATTCACACATGTAAAAATATAACATGTTTATACCACAGTCTACAAACATATGTTTGTACTAGGAGATATAAAGCACGACCATGTATTCTGATTTTCCTAGGACTGGACTAGTCTTTCTAATATCTCTTTGGACCATGGTATCTTAGTCACATGCATAAATATTCTTCAAAAACAATTCACAGTTAAAAGACCACTAGCATTTATTTGGACTTTTCCCTCCTTTCTCACCTCGTGGATTGAATTGAAGAGACTCCAATCGAAATTCATTAATTCCAGAGCGAGATCCCAAGTGTTCATCCCCAAAATCCTCAGGGGCCTTTGCTGTGATTCCTCATTTTCTGCAAATGGGTTCTAAACCAAAACAAGCAAGAGGATCCTCAGTGTTTCCCAACGTTTGGCACTGCACTGGCGGCCCACAGAAAGGCACTAGAAGCCCAGATTAGAAAAGCAATCTTGTCTGAGGGCACTTAATATTTCCCCCGGTCCGTTCGCCTTCAGCGAGCTACAGCCAAGTTAGGAAAGCGCCTGAGAAACAGTAGGATGTTGTCAATGAGCGAGTCTGCCCCGCCACCTGCCCCCCACGTGCCCGCACAAATCTGATTATAAGACACTGCCGGGCAGGCAGCGTAATGAGAGCGAAGGCTCTGAAACCACTTGGGCTTCTGGTAGGAATTAATGTGCCAGCGGGGCTAGTATGAAAACAAACAGAAGAAATGTCACAGGGCACGTCAATAAAGACAGACACGGCTTCTACAGGAAATGTGTTTAACAAGTCTCATCCCAGACACACACACACGTATTTTATTAGAGAGCTTGTGGAAAGCGAGTTATTTAAACATGAAATAAAAAATAAAAGTTACTTCATTTATACCCTATGGGGGGTGGTTATTTTAAGCATCAACTGCTTTCCCTATACAAGTAGGGATGTGTTAGGGTACAATNCACCCTGTGGGGGGTGGTTATTTTAAGCATCAACTGCTTTCCCTATACAAGTAGGTATGTGTTAGGGTACAATAGTTCCTTAAAATATAGCATGAAATTACTAAATGTCACTGCAACTTTAAATCTATTGTCACTGTCAAATGCATTAAAAATTATTCGGCATCTTTCCGAAATATTTGATATTTTTAATTAAAATAGAAACCCTCCAATTTCAGGGGTTGGACTTGAATAGTTAGTGATGTTGAAATTGTTGGTGACTTGGAAAACAAAGAGTAGGACTTGGCAAACTAAATGACATCACAGGATGAAGGGAATAGTTCAGATTCCAGATACTAAGCTCTGTTTCTAAACTGCAAAATAAATAATTTGCCTTTTAGAATTTTTACATTTATGAATAGTTTTTCTACTTAAAAAATAAATGGCAAAAGACCTTCACAGAGCTTTCCCACAGTCTCGATTCTGTTCAGAGCAGGTCAAGGTACAAACTGTCCCTGTGACCCCAGAGTGGGAGACAGAGTGGGGCTCAGTAAGGGCAGACGGCATAAATGCGCGTGCAGATACTGAGGTGTTGGGGTGGGGAAAAGGCAAGGTTTCTCAGGGACTGTCTGACTGGGACCAGATGGCCACCACGCTGCACAGCAGACATTCAAGGGGAGAGCCACGAGTTGAGAAGAAGCACTAACCTAGGTTTACTGATCTGGAGGCGTGAGGATATTTTCACCTGGCCTTTAACCGCCCCCTACGCTCTCCCCAAATATACTCCTTCCCCTGTTACCACCCTCTGTTTATTCAAGATTGTCCCCCACCCTCTCCAAGAAACATTATATATGTAATTCTCCAACCCATTCATCCAGGGCTCTAGTCCCTGCTTTCCAAGAATATAGTCCACAGGCAAGTATACTGGATACTGGTGGTTTCACAGGTCATTCTTCCCTTACAATGTCCCATGTCAACTGGAATATTTTGGTAATAAAATACCTATAGCTGCCCAGCTGGCATGGCACAATGGNGATGGCTGAGCATCGACCTATGATCCAGGAGATCGAGGTTCGATTCCCGGTCAGGGCACATGCCTGGGTTGTNAATGGTTGAGCATCGACCTATGATCCAGGAGATCAAGGTTCGATTCCCAGTCAGGGCACATGCCTGGGTTGTGGCTTGATCCCCGGCAGGGGGCGTGCAGGGGGCAGCCGATCAATGACTCTCATCATTGATGTTTCTATCTCCTTTTCCCTTCCTCTCTCTGAAGTCAATAAAAACATTTAAAACAATACCTAAAGCTATGATTCTACTGGGGAAATTTTAGGTAGTGTGCCAAGTTGGTGGGGGAAACATTCCAGGGCGGGATGGTGTCTGGCTCATCTCGGAACGTACTTTGAAGCACCCATTTATTCCATTAAGACATCGAGTCAGGCCTGCCTTCCCCTCTCTGAAGCTGGCCCTGGACAGTGGAGATGAGAGCCCTGGGGATGAACACCAGGTCACAGCATGAGAAGTCTGCGTGGCACGAGGCAGGAAGGCAGGAGGGCAGGAAGACCGTTAGAGAGGGTTCCCTCCATCACCAGGAGCCCAGAGCAGCTACACAGCAGACTGTCCTCCTTCATGGGGAGGGGTGAAGTCAACTCAATTTCATTATTTACTCAGATGCTGTGCAGCATCAGTGTGTCCTGTGTCGATGATGCAATTACATCATGTGCAGACAGGACCAGTGACCTGCCGGGCACTCAGAAGCAGGACGGGTCCAAGTTAGACAATAGGTTTCCCTCTTCTTTTCTCTCATTGCATCCCAATGAAAGGAATGGGCAGGCGCTCCGGAGCCAAATATAAATGGACTCAGTTCCTAGCACCATCCCCTCCTTGGTTGTAGGAAGCTAGAGTAAGCTACTCGGCCTCTCCGAACTTCACAGGGTTACTGGGGATGGCAAATGAGATGCTGTATGTAAATTAAGCAGCACATAGGTGTCTGATAATAATTATCAAAAATGACAGTGACTAATATTATGGTAGCATGATATCCTGTAGATAATCTTACATAAAACATTTTTATGATAAGCAGTTTGGGTTTTACCCACGTGGTATATACATCCAATTATATATACAGCAGGAACCAGCTAGAAAGCCCCAGCCCAGGGATGACTCCATGACACAGACCAGGACCATGAGTCTGGAGGACACAGTCACAGTCTGGTAAAGCCGGCTTCTTACGGGTGATGGATGCTACCAGACAGAGAGCAGCTGTAAACTGAGGGTATTTTGTTGGTTTTTTGTTAATTTTCACCCAAGGATATTTTTTTGATTTTTTTTTTTTTAGAGAGCGTGGAAGAGGGAGGGAGGGGGAGAGAGAGAGACACACATCAATTGCCTGCCTCCCACATGCACCCCAACTGGGGCTGGGGACTGAACATGCAACTGAGGAACATGCCCTTGACTGGGAATCGAACCTGAGGCCATTTGGTGCACAGGCCAGTGCTCTAACCACTGAGCTCATGCTGCCCAGGGCTAAACTGAGGTTTTTAGAAACAACAAGCAAATCATCTAGTTACGTGTCAATGTTCCTAAATTTGAACTGAAGTAACTTACACTTATGGGTTCTACATTCCTTCAAATGCTAACTCTTCAGTGGCATCTGCTGTCCCATTGTGATGAGATCATTTTACGCAGGGAAGGCTGACCTCCACCCTTTCTGCAAGGAAAGGGTGCATTCCAGGTGTACCAAATGGGTGGAAACAAAGGGCAGGCTCGCTTTCCCCTTAAATCCTCACGGTGCATTTCTCAGCCTACTCTCCATAGCTCCGCCAGAAAAGTGGAATTAGAATTCCATTCGAGAAGGAGTCTCTTCTCCCAAATCCCTTGTTTCAGGGGCTCAGAGGGAAGCAGGAGTTGACTTAGGAAGCGTTTAGAATTCTTCGAGCTGTGTGTCTTTGATTTGCCAAAGCATTGTTACTTGACATGTGTACTGTTGGCTAGAAGAAGAAACAATTCCATGTATTTTTCTAACATTCATTATAAAACATGTGCAAGTATGTTTTTAGTCTGACACTTGTGTCTGCGTGATCCAAGTGCAAGGCTAAAGGTCCTCACCAAGGTGTCGGCCAGGTCTTTCCGGTAGACATATATCCGACCAGATGCTTCCAGGGACTTGGAGATGGCCAAGTCGTTGGGCTGAAGTTCATGCTTTCCTTTATTTAAAAAAAAAAAAAAAAAGGAATTAGAAACACAAGTACAGCAGTAGGCATACAAGGTACATCCAAAGAGTGAAACTTGCCAAAGCAAAAGTATTTCCAAGTAAATAGGACGTATAGTAGATTTAATTGAGTTCTGCATACTCTATATAGTGGTACCAGTGGGGGCATGGCTGTCACCTCTCATTATCTATAAAATGGGATCCTCCTGTGATTCTCTCTTACAATATTTAGTAATTTTTTGGAACACGGAACATTTTAGGAGAGAAAATAAAATTCACTCAGAATCCCATCACTCTGAGATAACCATATGATGGGAATATTGGTTCACATTTGGGTATATTTCTGTTCTAATCTGTATGTAAGAGTGTGTGTGTACATACACATACATGTAGTGGTAATTATTTATACATATGCATACATGTTTATTATGAATACATATATTTGCAATTATTCCATATGTAGTCTGATATTCTGATTTTATTTAAGCACTTACCCATTTGTCAAAATTATTTATGTCATGTTTAATTGGTTACATAACAGTCTATTATACTATCACTTAATTTTTTCACTGTTGCTGAACATTTAATGTTTTCCAATTTTTTTTGGTCATATAAATTAGATGGCAAGATGTATGCTAAACACTAGCACAGGGCCTGGCACAGAGCAGGGGCTTGATAAATGGGGTCTGTTGTTATCCCAGTCATAATACATATTGCTGAAGTCAATGTCCCTGTGCATAAATCTTTCGCTGCTTATAGATGATTTTACTAAGATTGATCCCCTGTAGTAGAATCACTGGGTCAAAGGGAATGAATATTTTAAAGGTTTGGACGCAAACTGCCAAACTGCTTTCTAATGCTAACACCAACCAACACTGATCATTACCTTTGGTCAGTTGGCTGTTTTGCTGAAGCCAGAAACAGGTTTGTGGGGGTTTTTTTGTATTTCTTGACTACCAGTGATGCTGAAATTTTTCACATATTCTTCTTCCATTTTATTTTCCTTATTGCAAATTGCTCCTATCCTCTGACCATTTTTCTATGGTCGCTGAAGCTCTCTTGTACCACAAGAGAGTTAGGAGAAATGTCCTGCTCCTAACTACAAAACGCAGGTGGGAATCGACTAAAGGAATATTCAAGTCTATTCCACTGTCAGCTCCTCCCAAAGCAGCCCTTCCGATACCCTGCGCGGTTGGGAAATGCGATATCCCATGTCTTTCTCTCGATAACCTAATCAGCTAAAAGGCCAAATTTTGTTTTGAACAGTCCTGTTTCCTACAGAGCACACAAATGATAATCTAATATATTCTTTATGGCCCCGAATTATAAAGATCAATAGGACTGTCCTGTCAGGCCGCTGATGTGTGTACTAAATGGTTCCACAGGGCTGGGCTCTGAGGTTCTTCCATCTCCTCCCTCATTGCCTACAGCTTCTTGCAACCCTCTGTGTGTCCTTCTATACCTTAAATATCAATTTATGAGAGCCACTCCATGGAATAAAATGCCATGGCGTTCTGACAGTAATATTCCCACGGGCTAAGACATTTTTTTCCTTTGTTTTTAGGTTTGTCATTATACTATAAGAGATTAAAACTGATCAGTTGATAAAATTTTAAGCTCTGAATAACTGGGTAGGTTGTTGTTACTCCATACATATACCTACCACCCTCGATACAAAACAGCATAAAGCCAACTGAAAGCTCTGAGGAGAACAGTACCAGTCCTTTGAGAAAAATCCACGAAACCTACAAATGGCCAACATCTTTAAGCTTTTTTTTTTTTTTTTGACAAAACTAAAATAACAGTAGATCTCATTGTCATTTTATTTTGCAGTAGCATTTAAAATATTATTTATTGAAAATTATGTAATCAGAACAAGGAATACATTAAGCTCTGTTGTTTGTTTTTTCCTTCATAAAAGCGTTACTGTTTGGGGGATATTAAGCTGCACGCAGAAAGGTTCTTAACGGACAAAACGACTAATCGATGGGAAATAATGGCACATTTCCAAATCTGTGGGATAATTCAAGAGATAAGCTGATATTTCTACTGGTGATTAGCAATGAGTCTATATACACATTAAAACGCCACTGCCCACCCTGATGAACCCGATTTAATAGAGTGTAAAAACGGCATTTCATGGCCATCACATAGAAATTGGGTAGTAAAGGAGCCACTCGTTAATTTCCAGGTTCACATGTGGCCCTGCTGGGTCTCATGTGGCTCTCCTGTGCCGCCAAGTTCACTCGAGGTCCCTTCTCCTCTAGCACCTTCTGTCTGAATGGGGACCAGATGATTGCTTTTTGTAAAGCTAGTGCCTTGAGAGGCAAATGTTGGTTTAGATGAAACTTAAAATTGTTTAAAATCACTTAATAATTTTGGTCACCTAAAATTAAACATAATATCCATTTGCCATATCTGTCTGGAATATCTGAAATATTTTATTAAAAAACTTGGTCACTCTGATTAAAATTCACGTAACCCACGTTTCTTAAATTTTTGCTCTTTGTTTTCTAGATAATGTTTTTGATGGGATGCAGTTAGGGCCCTAGAGAGGAGGCATCTGGACAGAAGGCTGTTATGTTTGCATTGTAATCCCCTGGCCTGTAGGACCATTTCAGCTGGCTCTGAGGAACCACGCAATAGAAGCAGTATTCAGTCACATACTGCTAACGGGTAAACAGAAGTGCGGGTCGTCTGCTCCCCCACCCCTCACTTCTGTTTGGTGAGTTCACAGAGTTCTCCCATTTTTCAAGGACTGATGCAAAGTCACTTTCTTTATATTTTTCTCAGGGTTAATGAGATATTAAATAAAGATTGTAAGCCCAAAAGGAGGCCAGGGAAGCCAAAATCTGACAGGCTCTCATGAAAACGAAGGGATCTGTTCAGGTCGCACAGATCAATAGTGTCAGCTTGTAATCTGTGTGATCTTACTCAAAACAGACAATAAACCATCCTCCCAGGATAAATGAGGCCCAACGGGGAAGAGCTATATAACCAGGCCTCACTCCCACGTCCACCTGAAGGGACACTGCCTGTGAGCTTGGGGCTCATTGTTCAGTTTTTATTTCCTTCGGTAGGGAGTCTTTAAGTATTAAATTGTCAGCCAGCAACACGGCTAGCTCAAGGCGGTCCTTTTTTCTTCCTAAAGTAATTCTGTCCTTTAGCAATTTCCCAAGTTAATTTAAATATGAAAATAGAAGGCTTATCTAGAGTACAAAATATGAAAAGCTTTATAATATATTTCAAAACATGGGCATGCCTCTCTACTCAGCTCTAGGGGAGGAAATTCAGCATCCTATGGCCCCCAGCTGTTGTCATGGAAACACCTCTGGCAGGCGGCTTCTCCTTGTTCCTGTGGTCATCCAGCTGCGGACCCAGAAGGGACCAGCTGCACGTTTACTCTATAAAAAAATGTCAGCTCCCTCCCGTCAGAGAGGATCCAGTGAAAGATTAATATTCAAGGACAGAAGACAATTTACCCCCGGAGAACGTGACGGCCACCAGAGCCAGGTCCTCTTCCGCGTGCTGGATCTTCTCCGCCACAACTTTCAGGACCTCTTGGGCCGTGCTGGAGACTTTCGCCTTCACGCTGACGTAGGAGTGCTCCGTTATATACACGTGGCAGAAAACTGCACGAGACAGAAGCGCTGTCAGTAACCAAGGGCCCTGGCTGCGGGGTGCAGGCTCTGTTCAGTCAAGGCACCGCCTTCCTCACCTGACCGCAGCTGGACTACCTACTTACGCGTGCACGTGGGGGCCTGGGGGTGCACGCACACAAATGTGCGCTCGCACACGCAAGATACAGACGTCACCCGCTGGTGAGCAAGGCCGAGCAGGACCTGGGCTCCCCACACTGTCATGAGAGACCCAAGCGTCTGCTCGCGGTGGAAATGGTCTGACCACAACACAGCGGAGTGTGTGGAACATGCACTGTATTTTCGGGCCCTTCGGTGAGGGTTACCGAGACCTCCCGAAGCCGTATATTGAAATGTCTAACTCACACGTTTTTATTTTACACTCCATTTCCCGACACTGGCCCAATCAAGAGCACCACATTCTGTTATTAGAATTCTCATAAGCTTATCGAAAAATCTATCGTTTGCCATGGTTCTTGTGTTCAGCCTTCTTTTTATTCTTATTTTTTTAACTTTATTGTTGACAGTTGACATTACTGTAGATGTCCCCGTTCCTCCTATCCCCCTTTGCCCACCTCCGCCCAGGCCCCGCCACCCCTTCCCTCTGGCCATCACCACACTGTTGTCTGAGTCCATGGATTACGCATATATGTTCTTTGGTTAATCTCTTCACCTTCTTTCATCCACTCCCCCCTCACCCCTCCTCTCTGAGAGCTGTCTGTCTGTTCCATGCCTCTGTTTCTATTTCATTCTTCAGTTTATTTTGTTCATTAGATTCCACATATAAGTGAGATCATATGACGTTTGTCTTTCTCTGACTTGCTTAATTCACTCAGCATAATAATCTCCAGGTCCATCCATGCTGTTCAAACTTCTTGATTTTTTAAAGTATGACCCTCTTCCCCCTGCCCCTTCTGCCTCATTAATGTGATAGCGAGTTTAGTTTCCAACTAGAGGTCACATTTCTAACCATTTTAATTTCATTTTTATTGTCTGCGGTGCAAATAATTATTACTAGGACATTATTACGAGCTGGGCGAATGGGTCCTGGAAAAATGGTTCTTTATGATTGGAGAGCAGAAGCTGTTTTAATAGCAATTGAGATAATCGACACATTACTTGCTTCTTATATCAGCTATTCTGAACAATAAAATACTAGCTTCTTTAGAAAAGACAGAAAGTCAATAATATACTTAGATATTTTTCTCTCCTATAATACAAAACTTTAAAAAAAGGAGTGCAGCTGGGAGAGAAATTTTATACGCAATTTAAATGGCTCCGCAAAAATAACCCCTGGAATGTTTTCACAGAAATGCAAGTAACGCAAAAGACAAACCAGGAGTTTCCACGTGTCAGCCTCCAAGTAAACAGGCCACCAGGAGGGATTTACAGTTGGGTGTGTCACTAAACCAACAACATCTAACAAATAGGTGTTTTATATGTTGTCAACAGACTTGTGAAAGACAAAAAGCCTTTTTTCTTTGCATATGAACATGGAATTTTTGAGCAAGGCAAAGATTTGATCTATAAATCACTAAATGTCCTTAACAAACTGATGAACTAAAAGAGGCTGGGGGGTGCTGGAANGCTTCACAAACTGATGAACTAAAAGAGGCTGGGGGGTGCTGGAATACTCAGACTCTCTGAAACTCAGCTTGGAAAATTATATAATTAAGTTGTGAGACAAATAGGCAGAAAGGTCAGCAAGTAAGAAATTAGGAGGTAAGATAATTTCGTTTGCTCTTTCACTTAATATGATACAACAGCACTCTCATGAGCAGCATTATATATAAACAATGTAACAGAAGAAGCATCCTTGTGACATTGCGTTAAGTGTTCAAGAGGCTGAGCAAATGTTAAATGCTCACTCTTGGAACTGCAGGACTTACTGAAAGGCCAGCTAAAAGACAAAGTCTCTGAGTGACAGAGCGTGAACATTTTAATTGCTGTAAGTGTTTCCTGGCTCTGCACTTGACTCAACACTTATCCAAACAGCAGGAAACCATTTTCTGTTCCATTATAAAATATCACCACAGAAAAGCACGTCAGCATCTTCAGGGTCTGAACAAGTGTTTCCTCCTGTACTGACCGAGCAGTCTTCTTCCTGCCAGGTCGTGAGCCCTGTGGGCACTGACGGGCACTGGTTGAGACCATGCTGGGCGTGGGGCACTGCCCGGCACAGCCTTGCCTTGCAGGAATTGCGACTGCACGCCCTTCCTTTCATTATTTTCTCTGAGGTTTTTTCTCTAAATGTGCCCTGCACCTTGGCTTCAGTGGCCTTTCCAGTTAGTCACAGGCCATCATGGGCTGACAGAGGGGGGAGAAGACGTCCAGAGGAAGGCTGCATTTCCAGGCAATTTTGCAACCCTTCCCAAGAATGCAGGAGGCTCTTTGCAGTCTCCTTTCCTTATTTCCCAAATTAAAAATGTCCTTGGTCCCGGGGATACTATCAAGAAAACGGTAATGCCCAAAGCAAGAAAAGAAAAACATTTTTTATGCTAACGTGCTGGTGAAAGGGTGTCAGGGCTGGAAATGGTTAAAGGCAGCTGATGTGTTAACGCTGGAGAGCCATGGTGATTGACAGCGGCTCCACCTACCCCAGACCCTGGTGGAAACCATACTCACTTTCCTCTGTTTCAGTCACAGTTCCTCTATGCTGGAGCCAGTTCTCCTTGAGACTGAATTGGTGGAAAAGGGCTTTATTCTGTGAGGAGGGAACGAGAACAATGAATGAATGTATTCCTGCCCTTTGGAAAGTCACAGCTGTTTACAGCATGTTCCAAAAGAGCTAGCCAATTTCTTTTTTTAATATGAAGTCCACCCATCCAATCATAGAGGAATAAACTGGGAGTTGCCTCAGCTAATGCATGTGGAGGTGGAGAGTCTGAGCAACACCAAGACCTCTGCCAAGGCCAGCAGGGCAAAAAGTCCCTCCAACTATTCCCTGCAACATGCTGGGGAGAGTAGCTGGTTACGACAAACACCCTCAGACTCTTCTGCAAAAAGACACTGTATACCCATCCCAACATCAACCTTGCATTTGGATAAAGCAGCTTTGAGGCCGTTTCATACTCTGCTGTAGTACAGTGATTTTCTTAAGGGAAGCAGGTATCTTATCAGCTTCTATAAAATTCGTGCCTGGCATCTCATTTTACATTCTCTCCCTCCAGCTAAGTAGGAAACACATTCATTCTGGCTGCCATCTCTCTTTCTGTTGGGTGGAAAAGTGCAAAACTTTTTCTTCCAAGACTTCGTTCCTTTTGCAGTCAAGATTCTAGCCTGGGTTGTTGTTTTTTAACCCATCGATGTTTGACATTCAGATTTGTGCCACTCTGGGGACACTGGGGAAATTCAAAACGTGCCACAAAAATATGCGGCGTGAGAGCAAGTCAAGGGCACAGGGCTGACGCTGCATCTGCCCCAGCTCAGGGCAGCTGACAAACGAGCGAGCGTGAGCAAGCTCAGCCTGGGTTCCCTGCCTCGCCTGTCCTGCTTGAGGCCCTCCTCGCATGCACCAAAGGCTCCGAGCTGAATCACCCCATTTCAGGTGGAGAGGGGGCTGCCTTACCTTCCTTTGTGGTGAATATTCATCTACGGTGCTGAAAGGAAAACAACAAGTCAATCTCTTTCCCAAACCCAGAACAACGCAACTATTGTCACAAGACTAATTTTCAGGCACTGGGCGGAGGCTTGCTTTCCCCAAAGATAAGGCGCAGTGTTCATTAGCTGACTACGGATAACTCACTTGACTTTGGGTTCTGGATTTCAAGGGAACCGGGAAGAAAAGAAGCGTCTACTCAGCAGGTGTATTTTGCTTTCTACCCACAGAAAATGAACAGTGAAGGAAGAGCTGCTTCCTTCTCTGCACAGAAATTCCAGCTTTCTCATATACTCATAGATTTAGGTTGAAATCACTGTCATGAAGCTCGCTAAATAAGTAGCCGAACTGCATCTTTTCCGGAGTATTTCTATGTGTGGTGGAGCTGGGGGGACATTCTGCAGGTCCCCAGCTCAAATCTTCTTCCAGAATTTAAAGATATTTCATAGCCCTACACCCAAGACACAAGGATCTTGTCTTGTATCATTTTCTTATTTAATCTATTATTTCCCACTTTTATGTAAGTTCCTTCATGGAATGTATTAAATTCCATTCATGTCTTCAATGCACTGAAGTGGATTCAACCATGAACTGAGGTTCCCAACAGTAATGAGGCCTCCCTACAGCACAGACCAAATTCCATGGAGGGGATTATGTTGATGTCGTTTGTCTTTATTTGTTGTTTCATTAAGTTGTTCATATTTTCATACTAGTCCTAGACTATGGAAACAAGAGTGTAGACCCTGATAAAAGAAAGCCACCAAAATTCACAACATTCATTTCTAACACACTGACCTAACTTACACCTCATTTCTGCATTTCCAAACATGTGATTTGTGTGCTTGAGGATTTATTTGCTCCTTAAAGTTATCTAGACATTTAATTTGCAGTAAGATCTCCCTTCGCTAAAATTAAGCCAGCCTTTAAATCTCGCATCAGTAAGGGGGAGGCCTGAATTAACATTTTCTATGAGGCGTGCATTTGTGACTGCTGGAAGCTTAACAGAAGTTTTCCACCCTTTGACAACAAATGTGTTGCATGTTTGTTAAGCAGAAACCATATTGTAAATCAGAGAACAATTTTCCCCTTCAGATTAACTTTGCAGCTCTATCTGAATAATGACTTGATGTTTCCATTTACCAAAATAAATAAGGAGAGTTTGCATAATTACAGTGAAGTAAGGGTTTGGCAATTTGAAAGACAAATGATAGATACCTGGGGACCTATCATTCAGGATGACTTGGACATGCCAAAAGTCATTGAGTGAATGGTTTTCTTTAATTTTTCAAAATTGATAAAGAAACCTCAGGGAGTCCATAAAATTGAGCTTTTAAAATGCTCCATGACTTGCTGGGACCTATTTATAAAACATTTTTTCCTATTCCACTAGAGATATGAGCCCCCAAAATGACAAGTTAAATATCTGCACTTTTAAAATCACATAATATATTAAATGATTGTTTTTAATTCTTGACTTACCATATATTTATTATTACTATTTTTTAGAGAGAGGGAGGGGAAGAGAGAGAGAAAGAGAGAGAGAGAAATATTGATGTGAGAGAGAAACATCAGTTGGTTGCCTTCCTATGCCCCTGACAAGGGATCAAACCCAAATCCTAGGTATGTACCCTGACTGGGAATCGAGCCCGAGACCTTCTGGTGTATGGGTCGACGCTCCAACCGAGCCACCCAGCCAAGGCTTAAATAATTGTTCTTATGCGCCTAGGTTGTCTTGGCTCAGTTTGTTTCTCCTGTATCAAAATTGGGTTAAAAAGTAGTCAATAAGCTTGATTTAATGTTCATTAACTTTGAGATATAAAAACAAAACACAATTTACAACTAGAAAAGCTAAAGAATCAAGAGGAATCTCAGGCTTGTTCAAAATGAACTTTATAGGACATCTCAAATTCTATCACATTTGCTGCTTTCTTTCATTGACTGTAATATGCAAAATTAAATACTTACTGACGACGGTGCATTCCAAGGATCTTTTGAAATTCTTTCAGTTCTTTCTCCAGTATTGGGTATTCATAGACATCGTCCAGTACATTCCTGTATATGGTCTGGGGGGAAAGGAAAATGGCAGTTGAATGGGTTCAGTGCGCATTTAGTCAGGATTTAGACTCATGCAATGGTTAGTCTGCCCAGGGAAATGGGTGGAACCCAGGACAACGCAGGGGGGTAACCCAGGTACCAACGAGATCCTGAGTTCCCGGGATCACACCTCCGAGCCCCTCCCTCAGCTGGCCTGACTCTGCTGCAGCTCTTGGGGGCTGTAGGTAGGAAATGTTGGAGACTTAAAGGTCTCTGGTTGGCTACTGCAGATTGCCAGGCCTATTTTATGTTTTTTAAAATGATATCCACATAATCATTTGGGAGGAAAAAGCATCAATTGAATTAAATTACCCAGTTGTTCTGAAATAACATTCATTTAGTCAAAGAGTTGGTTAAATAGTTTGTTGTTGTTTCTCACCGATTCTTTTAGAGACAG